GGCGGCCGGACCGTGCGGCGGCCGGACCGTGCGGCGGCCGGACCGTGCGGCGGCCGGACCGTGCGGCGGCCGGACCAGGGAGGCTTCGCTCAATTTCCGCTTCCGGGGTGACGCGTGACAAAGCCCACAAGGCTGCAGGCCAGACTCTGTCCTCGCGTCTACTTTGTCTCTCCGACCTCGGTGGCTGTCCCTCAACTCGGCTGGAGTCGGGAGGAGAGAGGGGACCGCGGCCAGCCTAGAGGGGGGACCGCGGCCAGCCCAGCGCTCGGACTGGGCCCTGGTTCCCTGTCCCGGGGCATTGCCACGCCCCCGGCTCCGCCCCTTCCGCGCCCGGGGTGCGGGCGGCGGTGCTCACGGGCCGGGGCTCCGGGCAGAGAACCCTCCGTCTGTGGACGCTCTGCCTGGCCCTGGCCCCCTACTGATCAGCGTGTCCGGAGGGGAAAGCGGACCCCGGTGCCGGAGGCGACAAGGCGCTGCGGCTGGACTCAGGACAGGTGGGTGACGAGCGTGGGCGCTGGAGCGGGGCTGTTCCTCTCCTGGAACTCACGTGCCCTCACCGACCCCAGGGGCCGCACAGGTCGCGGCGGCGCCCTCGGCTGAGGTAGGAGCCCTGGAGGGGGCACTGCTTCCGCTTCCCACGAGAGGCGGCAGAGGCTCGGGGCGGGCAAGTTCGGCTGCCTGCCCGCGCCTCACCCAGACACGAGAGAAACTGGGGAGGCTCAGAAGCTATTACCCGACCCGCAGCTTCCGAGGGAGATGGGAATCAGGATGGGGGGTGTCCACCTAGAGGTCAACAGCAACCGCCCCCAGGCCCGGATGCCGCCCACTCCGACAGCGGGGCCCTAAGGCCGAGGGAGCCGGGCAGGGCGGCGGGCAGGGCGGTGAGGCCTGGGAGGCTGGGGACGGGAGCACGGCTGAGCCGAGGAGCTTGCCCGGATCCTCACCCCTGCCCAGGCGGTCCTGAAGCAGCTGCCGCAGACCAACCTTTAACTTGTTCCACTTCGTCCTCAAAGGTCACGGAGCTCCTTCTCTTGGGGGGGCAGGTGCAGTGGGAGGGAGGGCTGTCCTCGGACGTGCCGTCCTCCAGCAGCATCACGTCTGTGCCTAGAACCAAGGCTGGGCTGTGCACACAGGACTGGCGAAGCGGGGTCCTCCCCCCACCCTCCCCGCCCCCCTGCACCCTCTCTCCGCGGGTTCAGTCCCGCCAACAGCTGCGTCTACCGCCTGCAGTGTCTGCCCAAGAAACACGGGTGCCGCACCTCATTTCGGGAGCCGCGTCAGACACGAGGAGCACGGCGTGCTACCCAAAGAGACAGGTGACATACGACAGGTGACTCGGGGCATTGAGCCAGGCCTGGGATTCCGGGGGGGGGGGGCAGGGCCCTATGACACGGAGCTTTGTGTCTGGATTTCCATCATTGTTAAAAATACGTTGTGCTAAATAAACGTTTAAAACTTCAAAATGTAGAGTTCTTTGGAGATCAAAAAAGAACTGAAAAACCCCTCAAAAAAGTGGGGAAACAAAGGCAGAGAGGCAGGGGGTCCTACAGAGAGAGCTGGCAGAGCAGGGGTGTGGGGGTCCGGCCTGAGAGCGGACCCTGGTGCGACACTGGGGCGCATGTTGGGACCAGCCTTGTGCTACCCCGCCCTCCAGCCTGCAGCCCTTCACGGCCCCGGTGCTCCGGAACGAGGAAGACGGGGCAGCCCGGGCTCCTCCTGCTGCGTCGGGCTGGCCTCAGCTCGGGGTCAGCCCGCCAGGTCACGCTCCACAGGGCCCTGGGATCCGCGGCAGGCCACCGAATCCCTCGGTGCCTCCAGGCCCCCTCACAGAGCTGGTGAGGACGAGGGGACGCGTGTGGCACAGCGTTAGGTGCCCAGTGGGTGCTCAGTCAGTGCTGGTCGTTCCGAACGAGGCCCAGCTGGCGAAGGGTCAGGCTCACACTCCCGCATGCCAGCTCCGGGTGACCCACGGGCCGTACTCCTCCAGGCGGCGAGGCCTACCCCCTCCTCCTCCTGCCTGGCCTCCTCCTCCTCCACGGTGTCCCACTCAGAGAAGCTGTGCAAGTCCCCTCCCCAAATACTCCGCAAAGGGCCGCCGCTCCCCCCCCCCCCCCCCCCCCCCCAGTTATGGTCTTTCCTTCAGGGCAGAAGCACGCGGGACGGCGGACCGTCCTCCCCAGTCCACAGAAAGCTCCAGAAGGGCAGCTCGCCGCTCCACCTCTAGGAGCTGGCGCAGGGCCTGGCCAGACGAACATTTACTGCGCGAATAAACATCCGTCCGCGGCTCACGGGCCCCCGTGGGCTGCGGGCAACGGGAAGGAGCCTGGGGAGGGACCCAGAGACCTTCCTTTCCTTCAGCTCCTGCGAGGGACTCAGAACCAGTGGGGCCGCGTGGCCAGCGGCCAACCCACGGGCTGGCGGGCGACAGACGTTTGCAGGGAACGTTCTGCCTCCGGAGAACACCGTCCACGACAGGCCGGGTCTCTGTCTCGGCCCTCAGCCTGCCCCAGAGGTCCGTGGCACAGGCCGCCGGCGGGAGAAGCAGGTCAGGGCCGGGATGAGATTTCCGGAGCTCCCGGCGGCGGACACGGCACCAACTGCCCGAGCTGTCAGCCCAGCTCGCAGGCCCCGGGGTGGAGAGCGGAGGCCTCTGCCGCGAGGGGCGCCCGCACCCCGCGAGGATGGCGACATCACAGGCGGCGGCGGGACAGATGCGCTCCGGCTGCAGGATCCCCTGGGGGCCGGGTGACAAGGCCCTGTGACAGACGGAGGACCTTCCCGGCTCACAAGCGGGGACGCTCCGGGGCTTAGAAAGAGAGGGAGCCTCTTGCCCAAGAGAGCCCAGCTCGGAAAAGGCCCTTTGGACACGGACCACCAGCAGCAGGACACACACCGGTCCGGCCGGCCATCTGACACAGACGGGGACAGCTCCCGGTCCCCCGCACGGTAACCCTGCACACGTTCCCCTCCCTGGAGCCTGTCAACAGCCCTGTGTGGGGGAGAACGGATCTCAAGTCCCCGTGTTATATGGGGAAACCAAGGCACGAAACCCTGGCAGCCGGGAGGCCTACCTGAGTCCTGGGAGCAGCTGAAGGCGGTGTCCCCCGTGCTGCTGCTGTTCCCGAGGGGCTGTCCGCCTGCCATGAGCGCTGTGAGGTGGGGGGACAGGCCCAGGTCTGAAAGGGAAAGTCGGCACCGTCAGCACAGACCAGGCCCTGCTGAGGCAGCCACGGACCCTCCATCTTCGGTTGTCCCCACCGGCCTCGCCGCTGCCTCCCCCGTCCTCTCTGTCCCTTGCAAACCGGGCTCTCCACCCACCGCGGGATCGGAAGCCCCCAGCTGCCCTTTTCCCTTGTTCCTGCCCCCAGGGGGGGTCTGCACTGTGACAGGATTCCCTGGGCCCCCCAAAGAGGAAACTCTCACAACAACACATGCCCACAAGACAGGGGGAGGGAAAACGGGGCAAATGGGATTGGGAGGTGACCTCCCAGTTAAACGGGATGTGGGCGCACCGTGACCTCCTGAGATCCCGCCTGCATACTGGAAAGGAACTTTGAAGTGGTGTAAACCGCCAAGCGGGAGAGAATGCCCGTAAGCCAGAAGGTGGGGACGGGGTCCCGACCCAGGGAGCGGGGCCGGCGGCTGGGGAGGCCAGGGCGGAGGCCGGTCTCACCCAGGGCCCCCCAGAGCTCAGGAGCCGGAGGCCAAGCGGCGTTTGCAGCAGGTGGGGCTGGACAGAAAGTCTCTACGGGCGGCGGCGGCCCCCGCACCGCTCTCCCCAGCCCCGGCTCAGGTGTTCGGCCCCCCTTGCTGGCAGGAGGGGCAACCCGGAGGCCCGGCCTTAGAGACCCCGCCACGGCCGAGGCGACCCCGGACAAACCACAGGCGCAGCGACAAGCTGCACAGTTAACGTGGGCCGTGCCCCGCCCCTCGGCCTCCTGAGCGCACGCGGGCCTCGCCGCCAGCACGGAGCGTGGCCGCTCACCGGACACCCGGGGACAGGGCCGGCTTGAACGAGATGAAGGATCACGGAAGAAACAAAGAGACTGCGTCTCAGAACAAACAACGGACGGAGCTAAAGAAGTAAAAAAAAATCTCTCCACGAGTCCCCGGAAAAAGTTGCGAGAATAATGACGGCACGAGCACGAGAGCCAGGGGCCCTGGAGGCCACGGCAGTCACGAGGAGCTCAGCTCGCAGCGAGGACACCTGCGCACACGAGGGCACGCCCGTCGGCTCAGCAGGAAGGCCCGGGCCGAAGGGCCCCCGTTCTCTCCACTCGCACCGCGGCGCTTCGGAGAGCACGAGGGGATGCCAGCGGGCTTTCTTCCTGCCCCGGAGCCGAGGGCCTGTCGAGGAGGCCGGGCTTCTCTCCGAGTCACCCCTCCGTGAACTTGGGGAGTCGGAGCGTGTTGGCGGGGAGGCCCGGGCCCAGAGAAGACCCCACACACGCTGGGCCCCATCCCGGGCTTCGGCTTCAGCATGGGACCGCGTGTCGGGGAGCCCGGCCTGGGGAGGAGCCCGTGGGGGGCCAGGCGCCGGCGACTGGGATGGCCCAGGCCGTGGTGGTTCGGGACACGTCTCTGAGGCTGGGTGAGAGCCAGCACGCGGCCTGGTCTCCAGCAGCCGGACGCGTGTCCGAGCCAGACCGCTGTGGCTGGGCGGGAAGGTCTGGAAACGGCTGTCAGGAGGCCCTGCCCCGGCCTGTGTTTATCCAGCATTTACCCTCGACAGCGGGCGCTGTTACCCTGGGGCTTCTCGCACGGAACAATACCACATCTGCTGGGTTGGGCCCAATCCAAGCCCTGTTACGAGATTAAAAGAAAAAAAAAAAAAGGCACCAAGTTGACAGGCCCCGGGGAGCTGGTCAAGCCTGGGGTGAACTGGAGTCACTAGTGCCTTTAGGAGGCTGGAAGCACCGCGGTGCGCTCTGGGCTGGATCGGGCACATGGAAGTCGCCGGAAGGCCTCCAGGCGGCACCTGGAAGGACGGTGCAAAAGCGAAGGCCCCGGGGTGGCCTTGTGTCCCTCCGGCCCAGACCGCCCCAAGGGGCCTGCGGCAGGACCCTGCTCCTGAGTATGTCTGCAGCTCCTCCCAGAGGGCGGCTGGGACGGCTCTAACCCGGTTCCCGGAGCTCCGAGCACCAGGTGGCATTCGTAGCGGCTGCCTTCACACAGCACCCAGGCCACCCTTCCAGCCTGGGGTGGGCCCTGGGCTCCCTGCCCTGCCGGCTGAGGAGGTCTGTGGTAGCCCGTGGGAGAGTTGCTAGAAGGACAGTTTGGCTGAGGAGGTCTGTGGTAGCCCGTGGGAGAGTTGCTGGAAGGACAGTTTGGCTGAGGAGGTCTGTGGTATCCCGTGGGAGAGTTGCTGGAAGGACAGTTTGGCTTTTTCCCGGAAGGGTCCTGACAGCCCGCAGACGCCGGTCAGCCGGGGCCTCGCAGGACCCCCTGTGAGCGCTCAGCTCCCCTTCCTGCACTAGAAGCCCGTGCCAACGCCGGGGCTGGCCCACCCTCCATGAGGTGGCACAGCCTGACAAGGTCAGGTGGCCCGGAGATCCGCACTGCTCGGGGAGCCCCTCAGGAGTCTGTCAGTAAGCCTTACCAGGCAGGAGGTCTTCTGGTGGCTCGGACAGGAGGCATGAGGGAAAACCCAACCCCTTCCTTGCTCCTCTTCGGCCTGGGGCTAACACGGCGAGAAAACCCAGGCTCACTGATTATGGTGGGTGCAGCTCCCGGGCCCGGGAAGGCCCACTGAACACCAGTCCCTGCACTTTTCTACCCAAAAGCATCTGGCAAAACTGTTTTCCCTCTGCGGAGAACGACCAGGAGCTGCTTTGGGACTCACCAACCAAACCCCAGCGGGTGTTTCCCGCCCCTTCTCCCAGCCCCACGACCTCGGGCGGCACCGTCACAGGCTGCACGGAAAGCCTCAGCCATAACCAGAGGTCTGTCCTTGTGCTAGCTGCCCCTGCCCCAGTCTCTGTCCCCGTTCTTTTTCTTGCCCCATGCCTAGCTTCCACGGACTATAAAGCAGGTCCTGTTTTTTGCCTGGAAGACAAGTGATTCCACAAAAGGTGGGTAAGTCAGTCAGAGAAACGAAACCAGACCCTGCATGCGGTCCTGGCTCACGAGACGTACTTGGAAACACGGACTGGCCAGGGGCAGAGGACGGCATCTCAGTGGTTAAAATCCTAGGGTACGGAGAGAATCTTCTCCTCTGATCAAAAAAAAGTCCCTCTCTTGGGGATGCCTGGGTGGCTCAGTCGGTTAAGCGTCTGCCTTCGGCTCAGGTCAGAATCCAGGGCCCTGGGATCGAGCCCCGCGTCGGGCTCCCTGCTCGGCGGGAAGCCTGCTTCTCCCTCTCCCACTCCCCCTGCTTGTGCTCCCTCTCTCGCTGTGTCTCTCTGTGTCAAATAAATAAATAAGACCTTAAAAAATAAACACGATGGAAACGTCTCTTTAGGGGGAAAAAAGATCCCTCTCTTGATCTCAGGGTTGTGAATTCAAGCCCCATGCTGGACACGGAGCCTACTTCAAGAAAAAAACAAAGAACAGATAGTCCCCGACTTCCTTCCTCTCTCCTGAAGTGACACTCCACCAGCCCCTGAATAAACGGGCGATGCTGGTCTGTCGCTGCCTCAGGGACAAGCTGTCCTATTGATCACCACTGAACAGTCAGGGTGGCTATGAGCTGTTTCTTTCCACCCTCCTGAGCGGGAAGACGGGAAGACGGGAAGATGGGGGACTTCCCCACACTGGGATCTGAACTAGCTGTTCCCAGCCGCCCTACGTGCCTTCAGGTCTCTCTCCCAGCAGCCCCTCCAGGGGATAATCTCCCTCAAACACGACCCAAAAACACGGAGGGCTAATAACACAGTACTGACTGCTGGAGGCAAAAAAATGCTAAAAATCCAGGGTGAAGGCTGAGGGAGAGAGAGGATCCTCGCACAGCCTCGCTGTGTCTTAATTACAAAGGAAACAACAGTGACTTTACAGGGGGGACCCACCGGATACCCCTGTATGGGCTGAGTGTGTCTCCCTAGAATGCATAGGCCCTAACCCCGGCGGGACGGCATCTGGAAGCAGGGCGTCTGGAAGGTAACGAGGAGTCGATGAGGGCGTGAGGGTCAGACCAAGCGGCTTGCTCTGTCCTGTGTCCCCACCTCCCCCTGCGAGCCGCAGCAGGAGGACAGCTAGGGCGAGCTCAGCAGAGCGCAGCCAGCGGCACCCTGACCTGACCGAGGGCCCTCCGTGCCCGTGCTGGGAGCCCCTGTCTGGCGGTCTGCGACGGCACCCTGAGCCTAGACAGGAAGCATCGAGGCATCACGGACTAGTAATAAGACATATGTGCCCCTGACGTGACTGTTGGGTCGGCGGCTCCGGGAATGCAGGAGAAACAACAGAAATGACCACCAGGCCGCCATCTTCCAGGCCCCCCGGCCTTTCCTAACCCTTGACGCTCCCGCCATAAGGATGTACGCCCAGCTCACGTCTCCACAAGCAACCTGATACCCATCCAAGAAACCGGAACATCAGGACTCCCAACCCTCCAATCCCGAATACCCTACCTAACACGGCTGTGAGCCTATGCCCGGTCTTAACCCAGATAAAAGACCCACTCGACCCCCTCCCGGCGCGACTTCCCCGACTCCTCTCCGGGGTCACGGAACCTCGCCCGAGGGCGCCTTTCATGAATCTTGCCTTGTGCCTACTTCACCTGGTGTCATTTATCTCACCTGTAAAACCTAACGGTGACCACGACGGGAGCACGGCACCCAGCAGCTCTCCCGCCCCGAGCACACGACCTCATTCCGACGTGAGAACGCACCGGCGAACGGACACGCAGGCCCGTCCACGAAATCCCCGACCAGCGCCCCGCGGAGCGTCACGGACGCTGAGGGAAGCACGAAGACCCCTCAAGGCCTGAACAAGACAAAGGGAGCCGGGACAGGAGGGGGAACGGGATCCCGGCACCGGCGAGGGACGGGCACGGGACGGCGGGTGGAACCCGAGCCGACTGTCTAGTTAACGCGTTGCACCAAGACGAGCGTCTCAGTTTCGGCAACTGCCGTGGCTCGGCCAGACGCGAACGCCAGGAGCGGCAGGGTGGGTGCGACGCTCCGTGCCCACTGCCCGGCGCTTCTCCAAGTCTAAAATTATTCCAAAATAAAAAAGGGTTAAAAAAAAATCGATCTCTCTAGAGTCATTACTCTGGGTCTCACCACAGGCCGAAGGCCCGTCTCCAGAAACTTGCTCCCACATCAGTCACCAGAGGGAGGCGCCGCTTCACACACGGGGGACGGTGACATTTCAGCTGGGGGCAGGGGCCCCCGGTTCGGGAATTGCCAGCGACACTAAGGAACGGCCCGGGAGGGGTGCGCTCGGGCTGGGCGGCCGAGGCCGGCGGGAGCACCTGCGAGCGGGAAGAGCTTTACGGAACCCCGGGAACACGGGAGGGAAGCACGGGCCAGGAGCGCGGGCGGCGGCCCCACGGTCCGGCTGTCGGTAGAAAGGCGGCCAGCGAGCCGGGGCCGGGCTGACAGAAAACACACTTCTGAACCCTGGCATCCCCTGCCTTGAGCTGCGGAGCTTGCGGGAGGGAGCGGAAAGGACCCGGGACAGACACGGGACGCTCCGCAACATTCCTTCCCCGAAGGACACCTGGGCTTGGAGGCCCCGAGCTCACCCACAGGCTACCCCGGCCTGAGGGGGCCTCCCCGTCCCGGCACGTTCCCGCATCACCTGTGATCCTGTTGGAGATGCTGAAGAGCCGGGACGTCCTCTGTCGCTGCACGAACGGCTCCCGGTAGTACCGATCCCCAAAGCACATGCCCAGCAGCTCCTTGCGGACCGTCTTGTTCCAGAGCCCATAGATCAGGGGGTGGCAGATGGCGCTGGTGAAGGACAGCCACGTGGCCCAGGTCTCCAGGGCCGGGGAGACGGAGTTCTTCCCCCAGAGGGCCTCGGAGGTGATGACAAGCATGTAGGGGCCCCAGGTGATGGAGAAGGCCCCGAGGACCACCAGGATGGTGAGGAGAGCTTTGCACTGGTTGGCCGAGTAGACCACGCCCTGCAAGGCGGTCCTCCTACTGCCCGACGAAGAGGTGGAGGTGCTGGAGTTCTTCCTCCCGTCCCTCTGGGCGTCCTCCCCCGCCAGGACCACCGTACCACAGTGCACCTTGCGCGCCTTGACCCTGGCCACCCGGAAGATGAAGCCGTAGCACACCAGCATGACCAGAAAGGGGAACAGGGCGCACCAGATCTGCCAGAAGGCCGTGTAGCCAGGCTCCCGGTGCCACGCGGCCACACACATCCACTTGAACTCGTCGAACTCCACGGACGACCAGCCAAACAGAGGTGGCAGGCAGCCGACGAGGGAGTGAAGCCAGATGTAGACCAGAGCCATCACAGCCCGGTTCCCTGTGATCTTCATGGGGTACGCCATGGGGTACAGGACAGCATAGTAGCTAGAGAGAGGATGGAGGGAGACGAGAGAGAGGAGTCAGAAGGGGAAAATATCCCAGAATGGGCCCCCAGTGCTCTCCAATGTGGGGAGCTTGGATGAATTTCTCCACTCGATCCAGCCGCGGGTGAATGCTCCTGAAACAGCTCCTTCCCCCATCTTGTCCCTGACATGTCATAGACAGGGCCAGGTTACACAACTTCGTGCGAACCTTCTTCCCTCAAGAGCTGGATGCCAGGATGAACCCAGAGCTCAGGCAGTCCTGTTCCCAGGTCACCGCACCAGAGCCCAGTCAGAGCAGGAGCTGTGGGAGTTCTACGGGATCCAGCTGGATCACCATGTTGCTGGCATGAATCCCCTTAGATCAGTTTTCAGAGGGTCATTAAGAACCAGAATAGTGTGGGCGCCTGGGTGGCTCAAGTCATTTAAGCGGCTGTCTTCAGATCAAGTCATGATCCCAGGGTCCTGGGATCGAGCCCCACATCAGGCTCCCGGCTCAGCAGAGAGTCTGCTTCCCCCTCTCTCTCTGCCTGCCGCTCCCCCTGCCTGTGCTCTCTTTCTCTCTCCCTGACAAATAAATGAGTAAAATCTTAAAAAAATAAAACCAATAATATCAAAGGACTATGGAGTTCATTCGTCCGATGACCATTCGCAGAAGGCTGGCTGTGCTGAGCACTGTGACGTGCACAGAAAGGCAGTGAGGAGAGGCGGAGGGAGACAGACAGCAAGAACAGCAGGAGAATCTGGGATGCTAAGAGCCACACACCAGCCTCACAACAGCTGCTTAAAGCGGTGAGCGTTGTCACTATCCTCGCCGTACAGATGAGGACACTACAGCAGAGAAAGAACCCGTAGCCTGCTCAAGACAAGGGGCAGAAACAAGTCCCATGGCACAGGCCAGCGGGAGGCCACCTGGCAGGGCTGGCTGCTGATCCCTCAGCCCTGTGTGGAGGGGGTAGGCTGGGCAGGGCACCTGTTTCAGGGGTCAGAGCCAGCTCCTGCCGGAGATGGCCCCCAGACCCAGGTCTTCAAAGATCAGAGGCCCTGGCCAGGAGGAAGTGAGGAGGAAGGCATCTGGGGGGTGGGGGGGAGCATGGAGAGGTGAGCCAGCGTGCGCCCCGTGGGGAAGCTGCCCGAGCACAATCAGACAGAGGCAGAGCTGGAGGTCAGGGGCCAGAGGCCAGGGCATGCGAAACCTCAGGGCAGGCCTGAGCCTTGAACTGGAAAGGGTGAGAGGATGGAGACCATGGGGTTGGAAGTAAGCTAGTCCCCTTCCCACCCAGACATTTTATCCAAAGGAAATGCTGTTTAATGAATAACAGGGTTTCCCCACGAGGGCAGCATGTGCGAAAAGAAGGGGTGTCCATGCAGACGCCGCCTGGTACAGGCAGGATGTGAGAAACGCCTGTGGTCATGAGAGTCACACGTCTCCCGTGAGGCCTTCTCCCCACAGGCACCATCCTGAGTCACCCCTAGGCACCGGCAGCTCAGGGACAGGGCCACAGCCTGAACTGCTCCCCGCCATGCCTCTCCCGGGGGACCGCCCCCCACTGCACCCTTGCGAACCACCGTCCCCACCCGAGGAGAGCCTGGGACGGCGGACGTCAGGCGCATGCTCCGGCTGAGATGGGGCGTGGGCAGACCGTGTTCCTGACTGTGGGTCTGAGGCGGATCCCCTGGGGCCGGCATGGATCACAGCTCCACCGCGCACGGCCTGGGCTGAAGCCGTCGCAAGCTCATCCCTGGGTTTGCATCCTGCAACGTCCATGCGGCTCAGGGAAGGAGGGTGCCTTCGGAGCTGGAACGCCTGGGCGCGGACGGTGACTGCCTGTCTGTTCGTGGCTCTGCCGTCTATGAGCTGTGTGACCTCGGAGGCTGATTCAGGCTCTCAAGGCTTCCGTTCTCAAACACGGGAACCGCAGGAGCCCTGCCACAGGTCTGCTCCGAGGACTCAACGGGCTGGACGGAGGGAAAGGCCCGGAGCGTGCCTGCTCCTCACACGGCAGAGGGGACAGCGCCTGGCCTCCCCCGTCCACCGACCTTTCTCCCTTCCTTCCTGAAAATGAGAGCCCAGATGTGTGTGCTGCTCCCAAATGCCATGACCGAAAGGGGACACTGGTCCCTCCTGAGTCCCGGGAGATGAACTGGGCCATTCTGGGGGGTCTCCTACCTCGTGCCGGGTGACGGCCGAGACCCTGCCCCCTGCGGCACCATCCCAGTGCACGACGTGGGAGCGCGTATGCTCAGGCAGGGTGGAGGGGCACGTGGGAGGCTTCCTTCACTTTAAAAAAAAAAACAAGGCAGGGGCACCTGGGTGGCTCCATGGGTTAAAGCCTCTGCCTTCGGCTCAGGTCATGATCTCAGGGTCCTGGGATTGAGCCCCGCATCGGGCTCTCTGCTCAGCAGGAGCCTGCTTCCTCCTCTCTCTCTGCCTGACTCTGCCTACTTGTGATCTCTGTCTGTCAAATAAATAATATCTTTTAAAAAAACAAAACAAGGCAGAGATTTTGACTTTCTTTCTTGTGAGCTTTACTTGTTGAGAGAGAGGAAGAGGGCGTGTAAGCAGAGTGAGGGGCAGAGGAGGGAAACCTGCGGAGAGCGGGACCTGATTCTGGGCGGAGGGTTCCCACGACCCATGAGATCACGACCTGAGCTGAAACCAAGAGTTGGACGCTACGTGCCGAGCCAGCCAGGGGCCCCAGATCTCTATTTTTCTCTGCCTCTTTAAGACTGTGCGGGCCCTCTGACCTTAAGACCCCACAGCACGAGCCTGTCTGGGTGTGGAACCCAGGCCTGGGGAACGTTAACCACGCGGCCCCTCTGACTGACTCCGGCCTGGCGGTGGTAAAAATGATGACAATTAATAAGCCGTTCTCCGTAACAGAGCCTTGTGGCTGTTCTCAACACGGCTCGTTACTGTTGCTTTACGGCCGGACTTCTCATGCTACCCACGGTTCTGGGTCCACCACAGACGACGGTTCTGGCCACGAGCAGTTCCAGTGGGACGTGACCGTAAGAGTATGGCCCCAGCTGGGCCCTGCATCCCCTCGGGGTGCTGGGGTCGGGGGCCCGTCTCCCAGAGTCAGAGGGGCCCCTCACGGAGCAGAGTGCCTCCATTTATTTCCAGACCCTCCAAGTACCACCCTGGTTTTAGGGGCTGTTTTCTGTTTTTGTAAAATGCACAGCTCTGTGAAGATGCAGAACATTCACTCCACATCTGCCCACCAAAAAAGAAAAAAAGGATTAGGATTTCATAGATTTGAAACTTCATTTCTTTCCACTTAGCCTCATTTAGGCCTAGTTGCAGGCTGAAGGAGAGCACAGAAAAGCGACCGCCCGCTCCCCCGCAGGCCATCAGAGGCCGAAGCGGAGGGCTTCCGTGGTCTTCTGGGCACTTAACCGGCTGCCGGAGCTCAGTCTTCTCTCCAGCGACTCATCTTTACGCAGGAGCCCAAGCATGAGCCCTGGTCCCACCAGAGGCCCCCCGCCATGTGGCGTGTAACTGAGCTGCCGTCACGCAGCATTGCTGGACGCCCGGTGGTGCCCAGGACGGCCCGCAGCGAGGGTGACCCGGCCGGAGACGGCAGCACCGCCAGGCTGGAAACCTGGAGCCCATGAACCGCCCACCGGACCTGCCGGGGCGCTCGCGTCGTGGTCTGTGGGGCTGAGTAGGAGCCCGGCCTTCCCCTCCTCGCCCCGGACGAGCTACCTACCAGCAGCGTGGGCTTGGACGGTTTCACAGAGCCCCACTTGGCCCATCTGCAGGATGGGGGTCGGTCAAGCTGCTGCTCACCGGCTGGGATGAGAGTTCATTAAAAGCACAGTGTGGCGCCTGGCAGGGGACTGGCCAGCAGCCCCTCTGGTTGGGGTCACGACCAGCACCTGGGATCTCGCCTCGTCTGCTTTCTCAGAAACGCGCCCATCGCCTCCTTCTCGCCCCGTTCTCTCTGCTCCTCCTCTGTCCGGTTTCACTGCTTTTTCTTCCTCTCTCTCCCACCACTCCCTCCCAGCCCCTCCCATCTCTCCCTCCTCCCGTCTCTCTCTCTCTCTCTCTCACACACACACACACACACAGTTGCACCTTCAGGTTCCCAACAGACCAGGGCAAATATGTGACCTCCAAAATCACCAAGCCTGAGTAAAATTAATTTACTGAAACTAAGCAGGCAGGAGTGCTGTACGTCATTTAAACGGACGGATCAAGGTACCTGGTCCAGTCAATCTGCATCTTGGAACCACGTGAATGACCAACAACAAGAAAACCAAGCGTGTGTGCCCGGAAGTCACCTGAAGACCCCAAGCTTCACGCTGTCCCCACACTGTCGTCACAGGGGTCCGCCAGCTCCACCTCGGCTTGCAGGGCAGTGACCGGAGACCTACCCGTCACCACAGGGAGGCCGCGGTCCCTTCTCCACTCGGGCTGGGTCACGAGGGGGCACCGGCGCCGGGCTGCGGGGCCTGGGGCGCGGGGATCGGAGCTCCAGGGGGACAAGTGCGCTGCCGTGTGTCGCGGGTGTCAGCCCGTCTCCAGCCACGGCCCTGGTCTCCAGCAGCGACAGACCCACACGCCTCCCCCGCTCCCCAATCACGCCCGGCCCCCTGCCCCTTCTCCCTGCTCCACCACCTGGCGGTCCCTCCAGCACAGTAATGTCCCGCCTACTCCGCGGTCCGCATATGATCTCATCCTACGTCCCTGCCCCTGCATGGGCTCCCTGGCGTGTCTGTTCCTCTCGCCCGGTCGTGTCTCCCCAGCAGCCGCCGCTGGGCCAGGCCTGCATCCCCGAAAAACTGTCACAGAACAAGTGGAGTCCGTGCCTTCACGGGTGGGTCCTTCCCACCGCTTACGCACCTCTGGTCCTACTCGGTGTTCCCACTGATGAGCCCAAGTGTCCCCTTCCCCGGGGGCTTGCCCAGCCTGCCCCCAAAGTGGGATGGCAGCAGGGCCCGTGGCCGTAGTGTTTCGTGTTCACCACCACACCTGCCTGCCCGCCCGCCGCCCCCACCCCGTAAACTCCCGGTGGACAAGGTCTGCCTCCTGCCAGCCTGAGGACTCCGCCCAGAGCCTTCCCCGGACCGGCTGGCCGGCGCCCCAGTGGGAGAGAAGCGGCTGGATGGGGTCAGCTCTCTCCGCGATGGTGCACTCTGACAGCGGGACGGGACGCCCTGCTGAGCTCACCGGGAACCTGATGTTCAAGTCAGCAGACGACCTTCCCACGCAGCACGATCTCCCAAGCATCCATATAGAGAGGACTCCCTAAGAGGCACTTAAAAACGCATCCCCCCGCTCTGCTCCAGCCGTGGGCCCTCACTCTGTGCCCCACAGGACCCGGGGCCCAGGAAGGGACACTCAAAGGGACTCGATCTTTAAAAAACAGAGAAATCAGAGCAGGGAGATCCCACACCTCCCCACAGACAACAAGGTGCAGTCGTTGTCTTTAATGTGACGTGACCAGCCTCAATGGGCAGCTGACAGCGGCGACTGCAGTAAAGCTCTGTTCGAGCTTCTAAAAACCTGCCTTTGACACACGAAGAATCTTAAAAGTGTGTTTACGCCAACCGAAGCCACCGCCCCCACATGCTCCTCCAAACTGCCATGGAGCAAAAAGCCAGGAAGGGACAGTAGAAATAAATCTCGCACGCCCAGCGGACGGACTGCCATGCATCCGTCAAAACGTGTTCTCAAAGGGCCTGTGGCGTTTGCAGGTGGGAGGCAGAGCTCATCATCGCTTCCTAACTAGAAAAGCAGAAACCACACGAGCCGAGAAGCCCATTTAAAGAAACAGGCTGGGGGTGCCTGGGGGGCTCAGGGGTGAAGCCTCTGCCTTCGGCTCGGGTCATGATCTCAGGGTCCTGGGATCGAGCCCCGCAGCGGGCTCTCTGCTCAGCGGGGAGCCTGCTTCCTCTTCTCTCTCTGCCTGCCTCTCTGCCTACTTGTGATCTCTCTCTCTCTCTGTCAAATAAATAAAATCTTAAAAAAAAAAAAAAAAGGAAGAAAGAAAGAAACAAGTTGTCCGCGACCAAAACTGACTAGAGGCAAATACACTGAAACCGAAAGATCACTTCTGAGGGCTGGGGCTACAGATATTTATTCTAGTCTTTACATTTTCTGTGTCATTTTCATCGGGAAAAAAAAAAAGGTAATTAGAGAGGCCAACTGACGAGTTCTGGCCACTCAGTCCCTTCAGCCTGCGTTCCACAGCCACAGAGCGGCAGCGTCTGGCCTTGGGCCTGCTGGAGGCCTGGGCTCTGGGCGCCGTCCAGCTACCCCTCACCAGCTGACGACGGATGGTCCCGGGGGAGCCCAGGGCCGTGTCACCTCGTGACGAGAACTCCGACTCCGTGTTGTCCCTGCCTCCGGCCGGCCTCCTCCCCCATGCGCAGGTCAGCCTGCGCCTCCCTCAGAGTCAAACACCTGCAAGTGAGGGATGCAGTGACCATCTGCAAAATCCTCACCAGCACGAGGAGCGCGGGGTCCCCCCGACCTGCCGGACAGCAGGCCGCCCCCTGGGAAAGCCTGACACATCACTTTTCCCAGCTTCTTTTTCTCATCTATAAAGCACGCATCAGAGGTTTCAAGAACTTTTTGTTTTAAGCATTGGAGTCTCTTGTAAAAAAAAAATACATAGATAAACCTAAATGCAATGAAATCAGAGGTGGCCAGAGTGAAGGAAGGGCTGGAGGAGGAGGCAGAGCTCTGCTTGCTCGTCCTCCCCGGCAGAAGCCCCGGACGTCCTCCCAAGGAGCTGAGACGGAGCGGAAGGCACAGGACCAGACGACCTCCCGGGGCCCCCCCACCCCCACTGCCTGCCACACGATCCCTCCTTAACCCTTCAGTTCCCTGAGGCCAGCTTACCGGTCCACGGCGATGACCCCAAGCGTGAGCATGCTGGCCGAGCTGATGAGCAGGTACAGAAGGGCTGAGAAGTTGCACCAGACCACACCGAAGACCCATTCCCTCCGGACGGAGCTGGTGGCCACAAAGGGCAGCACCAGCACGGACAGCAGGAAGTTGGACAGGGTCAGGCTGAAGACGAACTTGTTGCTGAGGGTGAGCAGGTAGGACTTCTTGTACAAGGTGACCACGACGAGCAGGTTGCCCAGGCAGACGAAAACGGTGATGATGACGATGGTGGCAAAGTCAGCGATGGCACCGCCCCCGGCGCCACCGTCCTCGTGCGTGCGGTTACTCAGCTCCTTCCTGTGGCCGAGGGAGGAGTTGAGGCTCATGGTCAGGCACCTCGGCGTGCGGCGGGCAGAGCATGCCGGGCGGCTGGAGAAAGAGGTAAGACCGGCGCACGGGGAGAGACGCGTCAGACCCCATCGAGCGCACGTGCCGCACGAGCCGCCCGAGCCCCAGTTCTCCCGCCACCGACCCTCCGCTCGTCTTCCCCGCCCCAGCGCCACCACAGCGGCCTGTTCCCTACGGCCAACCTCCTGTGTCGCTCCCTGCGTCTCCTGGAACGATGGGCTCCTCCAGTCTAACCCAACCTGCTCCTGTGCCCCGAGGCCAGAGGTTCGAAACCTTTGATGTGCTGAGGGATGCTGGGGAGTGGGGGGGCGATTCTCGGCCCCGCCCCCCAGATGCTGGTCCCAGACTCACAGCCCCAGCCGAGCAGCCTGCGTTTTGAACAGGGGGCAGGTGGGCTGTGGTGCTTTGGGGCCCCTGCAATTCAGGGGTTCCCCGAACCAAGCAGCGGTAGCAGCACCTGGAGCCACAGAGACGGCCAAGTTCAAGCAGACCCCTGGGCGCCGGACCGGAACCTGCACTGACCCCACCCCCGCTGGTCGTGCGCCCGGGAAGGTCGGACAGTGCGCTTGTCGTAGGGGCTCTCGGAGGTGGCCGAGCGGGGCTCCGGCGAGCACCGCCTGTACTGAGGCCTCATCCCTGTCCCGGTGAGCCGCGGGGAAGGCCGGCAGGGACCTAAGCAGGTACGTGCAGGCCGCTCTCCGTGACGTGCAGTCCTGCTCTCGGGTCGCTGGCTCGGGATCTGGGCTAAGCTTGAAGGTTGACATCTTAGCACTCGTCCTACAGGACATTTCTCCAAACATTTCGTCTACACTCATCAGCCAAAACCCCACAGACACGTCCTCCGCCTGCTCTTGCTCCCGACGAACAGGAGACTCCAGAGAGCAGGAGCGCTTTCCTGCCACGGGCCGGCTGTCAGGAAGCCTGGTGCCTGAAGGGCCACACACAGCAGAGCCTCCCCCGCCCCCCGCCCTTGATCTGACACCACTGTCCCAAGGCCTTTGGCCCCAGGGAGCTGGTGGCTGAGAGGCCCCCGTCCCCTTCCAGCAGTCCCGAGGGCAGGTCAGAAGGCTTCCCTTCCGAGGGAGCCGGCTGCCCGGGCCGGAGGTCTGAGCAGCATTGAACAGTCCTCCCCTCGAGCCTTTAAATGCCTCACAGGTGACTTGCCTTCCCTTCTCCAGATGTAAGCTCCACCTGGAGGATGCCACCTCCAGACCCTTCACGAATTCAGACACCCCTGTTTGGACCTGTTCGCAGACAATGATGACCCTCTTGCTTTGTGGTCCCCAGAACTGGATGTGCCATTCTGGTTGTGAGCCGCTGGGTGTCGAGCACAGGGGGCAATTTTCCCCATCACCAGGACAATCTCCTGCTACAATCCGCTCTCAGAACGCATTTCCTTTCAGCAACGGCATCATCCTGCTGGGCTTCTCTGACTGTGCTCAACTAAAACCCAAAACTTACACACACGTGAGTTCCTGTGAAGCCAGGTGACCCCAGTCTAGAACTTAAGGCATTAATGTTTTGAAGCCTAAATGCAACACGTTATTTCTACTAAATTTTATTTTGTGCATTTTGGCCCATATTTCCAGGCTGCTGAAATATTTTGTTTTCATTTAGTTACGCAGTATGTTATGTACCCCCGCCCTGTGCAATGAACATCCTTTATAGGTTTGGCTTCTATACCTGAGTCTGTAAGGTTATTTCCGGGTTTTGTCCCTTTTCTGTGAGCTATGAATTTTGAATTTTGTTAACTCTTATAAGTAAACTATTGGGATGCCCGGGTGGCTTAGTCGGTTAAGCGTCTGCCTTCAGCTCAGGTCGTGATCTCAGGTCCTGGGATCAAGTGCCGCGTCGGGCTCCCTGCTCAGTGGGGAGTCTGCTTCTCCTCCTCCCTGCACCTGCTCTCTCTCTCTCTCTCTTTCTCTCAGGTAAATAAATAAAATCCTTAAAAAAAAAAAAAAAAAAAACCTCTTAGGGGCGCCTGGGTGGGTCAGTGGGTTAAGCCTCTGCCTCAGCTTAGGTCATGATCTCAGGGTCCTGGGATCAAGCCCTGCATCAGGCTCTCTCTCTCTCTGCCTGCCTCTCTGCCTACTTGTGATCTCTCTGTGTCAAATAAATAAATAGAACCTTCAAAAAATAATAAACAAATAAAATACAGTATTTTGACTGTAAATCGTTAATGATATATATTCTATGGACCAGAGAACTACTCAGTTTACTTAGTGGGCTTGGCGCTGTCAGCGGTGCTGTAATTTTACAACTACTTAGAACATAGAGCAAGTGAGTCTACGTGTTTACGGAGAAAGGGGGCACGGATTACAGAACAGGGAAAGGAGACGAAGGGCCCCACGGTGTTAAGTGGGCTACTGGGGGCGTCAGTATGAACTCCCCGTTCAATCAGACAGAAACAGGTCCAAGGAAATCCCCCAGAATGCAGTCAGAAAGATTAAGAAAGTAAAACTAACAGAATAAGAGGCAAATGAGAGAATGAGTAGGAAGTGCTTTATTATTCAAGCAAAGCAGAGTAGTATTTCTCACTAATTAAGGGAGTCCTGTCTGCTCAGATGGTGAACTCGGCCGACGTGAGCATCTCCGCCACTCCAAATCCTTTGAAATACGGGGTTAAATATGACCCAAGGTTTTTGTTGTTTTTTTAATTGTTTTTTATTATCCTATAATGTATCATTAGCCCCATGGGTACAGGTCTGTGAATTGCCAGGTTTACACACTTCACAGCACTCACCATAGCACAGACCCTCCCCAATGTCCATAATCCAGCCACCCTCTCCCCAACACCCCCTGCCCTGCAACCCTGTTTGTTTTGTGAGATTAAAGTCTCTTATGGGGGCGCCTGGGTGGCTCAGTGGGTTAAGCCTCTGCCTTCGACTCAGGTCATGACCTCAGGGTCCTGGGACCGAGCCCCGCATCGGGCTCTCTGCTCACCGGGGAGCCTGCTTCCTTCCCTTCCTCTCTCTCTGCCTGCCTCTCTGTCTACTTGTGATCTCTGCCTGTCAAATAAATAATAAATAAAGTCTTTAAAAAAAAAAAAGTCTCGTATGGTTTGTCTCCCTCCCAATCCCATCTTGTTTCATTTATTCCTTTCCTCCCCCCTCAACCCCAACATGACCCAAGGTTCTAAAAAGGATAACAAAGAAAAAGAAAAGCCAAGAAACAGAAATCCATAGGTACCAGAAACAGAGAGAAAATTCAAAGCCAGAGTTACAATCCCACACTTGTGGCCAGAAGAACATGAGACATAGTTCGCTAGGGCCGAGGCCTTTTATGTGGGAGGGTGACTTTGAGCTCCATGGGCAGAGAACCGGAACAGAAATCCTGCATAAATCCTGGTTTCTAGAAGGGCTGTCCCCTCCATGAAAAAGGGATTACAAAAGCTCCTCCCATGGACAAAGAGAAGCAGCAAAAACACAGCCATCGACCTGAGGTTCTGGGTGGAGGATGAAACGCTTCCTTCCATGAGAAATCAAACACCGAGTCCCGTGCCACGCTAATGCGGGCACCAAACCCATGCACTGTGAAAGGGGCAGAGACCAAACTGATGACGTGGAAGCGAGCGCACGGCATTCATGTGGAGGCAGAGTCAACAAAACAAGAAGCAGAACTGACATTCCAAGGACTTACACTAATAGGAAAAAATGAATGAGACATAAATGCTATTAAAAGCTTTAAAAAGAAAAGGAAGAAGAAAGAAAAAGAAAGAAAAAAGAACCATAACAAAAGAGCAGACATCGTGAAAAAATGATAAGCAATTGCAAAAACGAGCAAATAGAAATTCTAGAAATTAAAATTTTAGTTGTCAAAATTAAAAACTCAGTGGTTATGCTGAGCAGCAGATTTAGCTAAAGAGAAAGATGGTGAACTGGAAGATAGCTCTGAGGAAATTACTCAAAATGCAATTAAAAAGATTAAGAAACTGAAAATACAAAGAGCCAAGATCAGGAAGGATGGGATAAGAAGATCCAACACAGGTTCGACGGGAGGGCAGCAAGGGATTAGACAACGTGGGTAGCAGACACTGCGAGGCACCTACCCAGCCACTACTCTCGTTTTTCTCCTATGGGCAGGCCTCTGACTTAGTGTTGGTGGTATCCTCCTCCCAGGGACCCAGAGATGGCAGATCCCATCCCCAGTTCTGAGAGCTGGATGCTGGGTGGTCTAAAGTAACCCTCGTGTTCCCTTTTCTTCCAATCCTGGCAAAATAGTCAGGAGGAGAAGTCGGGGGCTAGTGGGGGTGGTAACGGGGATATCTGGGGAAGGCTGCTCTGATCTCACAAAGATGCAAGGAAGAAAAATCTTTTCCGGAAGTCCCTAAGGGCAAAGAAAGCACAGAGCTGTGGCAGCCGTCTTGGGATCCTTGGAGATGCTGAGCTGGCGTGGTCAGCACGGCAACCAACGGTCAATCCTTGGGCCGCTGAATCAACAAACCTTCAAGTCACTTCATCCTGGCTTCTGGTTATGGGAAATACCTTTCTTAAAATGATTTTTATTTGTATTTATTTATTTATTTATTTATTTATTTATATTTGACAGAGAGAGAGAGAGATCACAAGCAGGCAGAGAGGCAGGCAGAGAGAGAGAGAAGCCGGCTCCCTGCTGAGCAGAGAACCCGATGCGGGGCTCAATCCCAGGACCCTGAGACCATGCCCTGAGCCGAAGGCAGAGGCTTACTTAACCCACTGAGCCACCCAGGCGCCCCTTAAAATGACTTTCAGATCTTTGTCAATTAAGTTTCTATTACTTGAGTCGAAAGCATCCAACCGGCATTAGGTCGCGCTACGCTGTCCGCACCGAGGTGGACGTAGTTCTTAAACAGGGGCTGAACATTCTCTAGAGTTAAAGAAACACACGAGTCCTCAGAATGAAAGGGCATATCGAGTTCTAAGAGTAAATCCAAAAAAAGTCTAGGATGCGCGGTTGGCTCAGCTGGTTCAGCGTCTGCCTCCAGCTCAGGTCATGATCCCAGGGTCTTGGGATCGAGTCCTGCATCGGGCTCCCTGCTCGGT